AACCCTGAAACAACCTCTGGACTGATCTAAGTCAGGGCATGGCTAACTCACAGATCAAACCCTGAAACAACCTCTGGGCTGATCTAAGTCAGGGCATGGGTTAAAAAGGTTAAAAACCATTCTTATATTATAATATAACTACTTCATTTCAACAACAATAATCTTCAAAATAAAGTTATCAATCAGTTATTAAACTTAAAAACATATTATGTCAATTGAATTTCCCTATTTCTAATGCTTTAAAAAGATGTACCAGAACTGTGTACAAAAATTAACAGTTATAAATCACAAAAAATCTAAAACCAAACATTGTTGATACAAAATTATTTTAGATAAGACTTTTCTTCAAACTGTAAAAAGAATTGGAAAAAAAACATTTACTACTGAATACTTTGGATTTTAGTTTTTTGATGATGATATGTGAAAGCCAAGAATATTTTATGATGAATAGTTATTGTTTTATTCAATTGTCATGTACAGTATGTACTCATTGTGGTTTTGAAGGCAGGAAGTATTTAAACAATATACTCATTATAAAAACCCACAATAAACTGTTAGCATTGCTTACAAATTTCTGCAGCCTTTTTTGGTCAAAGTGAGTACTTTTTCACAGCTGGTTGACGGTTAAAAATAAAAAATGAATACATTGTACAGATACTTCCTGATTTGAAAATAAACTTTTAGGCTTGGCTTTGTCTCGGTGACATATTACCAAACCACAACTATACTTTCTAGAAGGTTATCTTAATATGTAAAAAACACAATTTTTTTAAAATTTTGTGTGACAGTTTGCATCAGCCAGGTAAAGAATTGTCTAATATCAAACAAAGCAGCTTCCTCAAAATAAATTCTAGCTATTTCTAATTTATACTATTTTAAATAAATAGTTTTAAATATTTTATCAGAGGCTGCATATACACTGTATAAGAGTAGACAGATGACCTGTACTTTCTATGGTATCCTTTATTCTATATTTCACTGCAAAGCTCAATTAATTTTTTAAAACAAGTTTTTATCCTTTTATACAGTAATTTCCTCAACAAAAAGAATAACAATTTGTCAATAATTATATTATTATAATTACTGTAACATTTTAGGATGGATTAAGTAAAGTCTTAAAGATTTCCAAAAGAAGAACAACTTTCTAAAAATGTAGCTAAAAATGTTATCAACTTGAAGGGACTCTAAAAGAAGGTTAGACCCTGAACCTCTAGATCTCTCAAGAACGATAATAAAAATATCATAAAATGCATTACATTTTTTGGCTCATAAGTATATCAATAATATTAGAGTATTATCTGACTATCATTGACAATGAAGGGCTCTTGCACTAGAAAATTAATAGATATCCAATAAGTGTTTGTAAGCCGAGTTAAGATTCATGATAGTTATGATTCATCAGCTTTTTAATTATAAATYAAGCCAAGCTTTCGAGCATCTTGCTCTTCAATTGTCACAACCGTTTGCCCTGATGAAGAGCAAGATGCTCGAAAGCTTGGCTTGATTTATAATTAAAAAGCTGATGAATCATAACTATCATGAATTAATAGATAATTGAAGATTATTTGACATGTAAAATATCTGGGAGTAGCAAGGTAATAGTAGTAGTAATACATGTACTTGAAAGGTGTTTGGGACTAAGCCAAAAATCAACAAGAACAGCTAAAAATAACATATATCTGTGTATGTGGAGGTTGCCCCCATACCATGTCGAACAGACTTCATACATGTATGGGATGAATGGATGGAGAGTGGGAGGGAGGGAGGGAATGAGAAATGGATGGATAGTAGGATGGAAGGAAAGATGGAATTTTAATAGATGGATGAATGGTGGAATGGATCTAGGGATGAACGGGTGGATGGATTTATCAATGGATTATAAATATATTGAGTGGATTAAGATAACAAGATATACTGTAAATAACTAATATTATGTTAAGAAGAAAAAAAATTAAAGAACTGCTCTACTTTCATTTCTATCTCCATGAAACTTGCTTGACATCTGACACACATTTATCTGAAACATGTGTCAATTGTTAAGCTTCTTCCTTTCAAGATGCAAATGAAATTAGAAGATTACTGACACTCCTGATCCAAACAGAAAAAAAATCCTTAACTAAAAGATAACTTAACTAATCACGAGCTTAACACTTCAAAAATAACTATTGTACATGTATGATTTAGCACATATATATACACTTATTTCAATAAAGTTAGTCACCAAAAACCTAGAAAGCTGAGATCCCTCTGCATCATGGGAAACTTTTCATATCAGAAAAGCATAAGTATACAAAGCTTTTTTAATACTTAAACTGCAGCTCCATGATGCTCAGAAGAGGTGAGACTGTAACCGGTAAAAGATTCGTAAGTCCATGAACAGATATCAAGCAATTGAACGTGTAAAATGAATCTGTAGACACATAATCTTCGCTGCCTCAGCTTTATAGCTTTTCAGGTGACTAACTTTATTGAAATAAGTGTATGTGTTGCCAGAAATAATAAAAACATAACGATGTTATGTAAGCTTTATGAAAGAAAAACAGAGGTTTTATATTTGTGAATAACATAATTCATAGGGGAAAAAATAGACTTTCAATTTGATCAAGTTTATAAAAAGAAAGCATAAAATAAAAATTATTTTATCCTTGTCAGAGTTTTGAACTTATAAAATGTGTTAAACTATTATTATCTAATGACAGGTTAACAGTGTTTTCACAGGCATTTCAGATAAAATCTTTGAGCATTGAGGTAATGTAAAAAAATCTTAATCCTAAAAATGGACTAATCTCAAAATAAAAAAAATTAGCTAGATTTGTTTGTTTGTGTGTTATTTAATGTTAAAGAATGAATTAAAGAATAAATGAAGCCATGTCTGAAGTTATATTCTAAAAAAAATTGTGAGAGCAATATTGATCAAACTAATAATGCAGGTTCAAATTCATTTTAAATGAACATGACTCGTGCATTATCTCTGACAACCTACTCACTAGGTTATTAACTAATTTAAGTAGAAAGTTGTGCATGTACTGTTTTTTGGTCACATTATTGATAAAAAAACTAATTGCGGGTTTTAGGTCGTTTTTTTCATTAGCAAACATTGACAAACCATTAAGAAAGAGTTTTCTTAAAGGTTTTTGAGTAAATTAGAAAGAAATGAATGGGAAGCAAACGAATTTAGTTGTCACAAATTAAAAGGAAGACCTAGATTGTAAAGAAAAGAACCTTAAAGGGGAATTACTAATCTTAGAAAATATTTTCTGATATTTTCTGATCGTAGATTTTAGAAATATAAAATCGTAAAATAACCATAGATAGATTAAAATCCAAGATATCAAAGTATAAGAAATATTACTGTTGGTGACCTCAATCGAAAACATCAAAACCCTACAGAGAAGTTTGTCACCAGTTGAAAGCAAATATTCTATTTATTTGACATCTAAAATCAGTTTCAGGGCTAATTTATCTTGTTTCTAATACTTTTGAGCCATTTYATACACTATATTTTAGAGGATCGGCTTATTTTTAAGGTTTAAAAAGGACTGTTTTGGAGTCAGCAAGTGAACAGGCTTCTTCAAGTTAAAAATTACAAATGATCAACTCATATCCAAAGACCTTACAAATATCCACTAGAGTCCATTAMAAAATCAAAAATAACCGCTTTTTAAATCAAAATAAACTCTAGGCTCACTGAATTATCCTAAAGAGGTCTAATATAGCCGTCCTTAATGAGAAAAAGACGGTGATAAGTGTTTTAGAGACTGAAATAACAGCATCTCAGCGTCAAATACGAGAGATTCCGGGAGTTCTCCAACACATTGAACCATCATTGGCGAAATTCCAATGGACCATTCAAATTTCTTTAACTACAATTTAAATTTATTTAAACTTACCTGAATAACCTTCAAATATCTTGTCTAGAACATCCAGATTTTGGGCTCAAATGTCCTTTTTTTTAGCTAAAAATGAACCTTCCCAAGAAAGAATCCTCTGACGGAAACGACTCAGTAAACCAACAAAATGGCCGTCAGTCATTCGGAATGATTCGGAAGGCTTCGGACGGCTGGGCGGTTCCGAGTAGCATTCCGAAGATGAGTACAATATCCGACAATCTGTCGACATAACGAGAGGAAATTCTTTTTCCCAAGTGCTTAA